TCTCGGCTCCAGGTGAGCAGTAGGGGGCGCACTGAGCCATCTGACCACAGTTTTGCTGTGATAGCCAGACTTGGGTGCCAGCCCAGGATTAAACTAACGGAGCCTGTTCAGAACTATCCCCAGCTCTGACGGCATCGGGCCCAGCGCCAGGGCCCTCCCCGTTTCCCAGTGCCCACCTTGGGCCGCTGCCAGTAGATGTTCTGCACCTGTTTGGAGCTGGGGCCAAGATCCTTGAAGCCTATAGACTTGGGTTCAGCAGGGAAGAGAGGGTCCTCAAACAGTTCCCCCTTCTTTAGACACGTTGCTTGAAGCTCCTCAAAGTTCTGATTCTTGAAGTTGCAGGCATTTTGGTGTTGGCCCACGCCCCCGGCCTTGAGCCGACTACTGTTTATGGAAGCCACCATTCCCTTGTCAGTAGAGATGGGCTCTGTTCGGTACAAAAAGACAAACAACCCAATTTAAGTTGGTGCTGCAGCTGGGCGGGCGGGGACAGCAGCTGCTTGGGAGGCGGGAGCAGGAGGCTCAGGAGCTGATCACCTTCAGCTACAGAAGTTTTAGTTTTTAATACTGTGCCTCCATGGCCTCTGCTTCAGATCCTGCCTCCAGAATCCTGCTCTGTTTGAGTTCCTGCCCTGACTTCCTTCAGTGATGAACAGCAATTTGGAAGTGGAAGCCAAATGAACTCTTTCCTCCTCAACTTGCATTTTTGGTCATGGCGTTTTGTTGCAGCAATAGAAACCCTAAGACAGTATTTTCTGTTTTTGTTTTTGTTTTTTGGTTTTTTGAGACAGGGTTTCTCTGTATTGTTTTTGGAACCTGTCCTGGAACTCGCTCTGTAGACCAGGCTGGCCTTGAACTCACAGAGATCCTCCTGCCTCTGCCTCCCGAGTGCTGGGATTAAAGGCGTGCGCCACCAATGCCTGGCTCTGTTTTTGTTTTTTTTTAAAGATTTATTTATTTATTTACTTACTTATTTATTATGTATACAGTGTTCCGTCTGCATATATGTCTGCCGGCCAGGAGAGGGCCCCAGATCTTGTTACAGATAGTTGTAAGCCACCATGTGGTTGCTGGGAACTGAACTCAGGACCTTTGGAAGAACAGCCAGTGTTCTTAACCTCTGAGCCATTTCTCCAGCCCTGTTTTTGTTTTTTGAGACAGGCTTTCTCTGTAGCTTTGGAGCCTGTCCTGGGAATTTGTTCTGTAGACCAGGTTGGCATCAAACTGAGAAATCCGCCTGCCTCTGCCTCCTGAGTGCTGGGATTAAAGGTGTGCACCAGCACCGCCCGGCTGACAATGCTTGCTTTAATGTGCATTTATTTGCATGTGTGCCTGAAAGTATGTCTGTGCACCACGTGCTTGCAGGAGCTCACAGAGGTCGGAAGAGCATCAGATCCTCTGGAACTGCAGCTACAGAAGGTTGTGAGCTGCTGTGTGAGTGCTGGGATTCAAACCCAGGTCTTCTGCAAGAGCAGCAGGTGTTCTTAACCACTGAGACACCTCCAAGCCCCCCCCTTTCCTCTGTCTATCAGCCCTGGCTATCCTAGAACTTGCTTTGTAGACCAGTCTGACTGTGAACTCACGGAGATCCACTTGTCTCTGCCTCCCAAGTGCTGGGATTAAAGGTGTGCACCACCACTGACTGGTGTCCCCATTTTTAAAAGATTTATTTATTTAGTTATTTATGGGGCCTTACTATATCTAAACAGGTCTGGCTAGCTTGGAACTCACTGTGTAGACCAACCTGACCTCAAACTCACAGAAATCTGCCTGCCTCTGCCTCCCAAGTTCTGGAATTAAAGTTGTGTGCCATCATGTCCAGCCTAAAAAATTGTGTACAGGTGTCTTTCCCGACAGGTACGCTGAGGCCAAAAGAGGACATCAGGTTCCCTGGGGCTGGAATCAGTGATGGTTGTGAGCTGCCTAATGTGGGTGCTGGGAACTGAACCAGAGTCCTCTGGAAGTTCAGCCAGTGCCCTTAACTGCTGAGCCATCTCTCCAGCTCCATAGATCTAAAAAACTTACTTATATGTGCACCTGTCTGTGTTGGTACGCATGTATGTGTATGTCGGGGGAGCAGAAGGTGTCAGATTCCTGGGAGCCAGAGTTACAGACATTTGCAGAATGTTCGGCTTCTCGCCTGGGTGCTGGGATCCAATCTGGGCCTCATTATTGTGCAGTGAGTGCGCTTGACCGTGGAGTTGTCTCTCCAGGACCCAACAAAGTGCAAACCATCATGTTTGCAGAGAGCCTTGGCCAAGTGACACCCTGCCTCAGAAAATGAATAAAAATGGCATGGATATTTTTCAGAAGGTCAAGACCATCAAGAGATGCCCCTTCCTACCCACAGAGGGGAGGAACGACAAGGCTGTGTAAGGCGTAGTGAAGACACTGGAGCCCTGGAGCATGGCCGGGGACATGGGAAATGATGGGGTCCCTTTGGAGAGCATCGTTTGGCCGCAGGGTCTTAAATAATGAGACACAGGGACTAGAGAGATGGGTCAGTAGTTAAGAGTGCTTGCTGTTCTATCCAGGACCCAGGCTTGGTTCCCAGCACCCACATGGGAGCTTATGAATCACCTGTAACTCCAGTTTCAGATAACCTAAACCCACTGTGGCCTTCTTGAGTACCTGCACGCATGCACACACCCACACATAGACACATGCAGCACATGGGTTGGTGGGAGGGGCGAAGCTGAGACGGACGAGGCAGGCAGAAGCTCAGGCAGATGGCTATGGGAGAATGGTAAGAGACATGCCTGTGCTGGGAGTGTGGCGAACGCCTTTAATCCCAGAACTTGGGAGGCAGAGGCAGGCAGATCTCTGAGTTGAGGCCAGCCTGGTCTACAGAGAGAGTTCCAGGACAGCCAGATACAGAGAAACCCTGTCTTGAAAAGCTACTTCTCCCCCACCACCCCCCCCAAAAAAGAAAGAAAGGTACATCATGACATATGAAACTGCTGCCTCCATCAGACTAAAAGTCAAGGTGGAGTGGCGCCCCCATCAGACTAGGGACCTGTAGTTTTTTTCTTTTCTTTTCTTTTCTTTCTTTTTTTTTTTTTTTTTGGTTTTTCGAGACAGGGTTTCTCTGTATTGTTTTGGAGGCTGTCCTGGAACTTGCTCTGTAGACCAAGCTGGCCTCGAACTCACAGAGATCCGCCTGCCTCTGCCTCCCCAGTGCTGGGATTAAAGTCGTGTAGCACCGACGACCGGCTATTTACTTATTTGCTTGTTTATTTTCTATGTGGCATACATGTGCCAGAGCATATATATCTGGAGGTCAGAGGACAACCTGTAGGTTCTCTCCCTCCACCTTGTGCGTCTTGGGGATTGAACTCGGGTTCATCAAGCTTTGTGGTTAGCACCTTCACCTGCTAAGCCATCTTGCTGTCAAGGACCCTGCTTCTGGGGCCTAAGTCACACAGTGACACCCAGTTTCTGAAGTTAAAACAAGAGTACTGCCTCCCAACCCCCTACGTCTATTGATTAATATATGATGCACTAAGTCACATATCTCGCACACTTTTTGTTGTGGTAAGAACACTAAATATGAATACTGGTTTTGTTTTGTTTTCTGACAGGGTCTTACATAGACCCTGGTTGGCATCAAACTCCCCATGTAGCTGGGACCTTGAACTCCAGACCCTCCCACTTCTACCTCGGGCAGATGCCAGGTCAGTGTCTTCAGGCTGGGTTTTCTATGATCCGGGGAGGGATCTCAGGCTTCAGGCATGTGAGCAGTCTACCACCTTAACTACATCCCAATCCCTCCTGTCAGTAATAAAAAAAAAAAAGACTTTTGAGACAGGGTTTCTCTGTAGGCTTTGGAGGTTGTCCTGGAACTCTCTCTGTAGACCAGGCTGGCCTCGAACTCACAGAGATCCGCCCGCCTCTGCCTCCCGAGTGCTGGGATTGAAGGTGTGTGCCACCACGGCCCGGCAAAAACCTTACGTGTGTACATGAATGCACATGCACACAGGGGTAGGGGTGTTGCGTCTCCTGTGAGCTGTAGTTACGGGTGATTGTTGATCACCCAGAACAGGTGCTGGGAACCAAACCTGGGTCCTCTGCAAGACCAGCATAGGCTCTTAAGCACTGAGCCATCCCTCAGCCCCGCTCCCAGGGAGTTTTAAAAGGATTACATCACAACCAGGGAACCAATGGTTTTTAAGGATTGTTTGCTCTCCAGAGCTTGGAGGAGATGCAGACATTGCTTTAGAAAACTGTAGCGGTTTACGGTCTCCTTCAAGTCTATACATCACTAGCCTGTCGCAGAAGCAGAGTCCAAGAGCCTTTGTCCCCAGTGTGACCCAGCTCCCTTCCTGCTCACAGGCTGAGGGGGAGGGGCAGAGCCTCGACTCTCCCCTCTGCTGCTGGTAGGGCTGGATTCCCAAAGGAACACCTTCTCAGCCTCCCCTTCCTGCACTGTTACTGGCCGGCCCGGCCTGCCCTGGCTCTGAGGGGAGGACTCAGGCTCCATCCAAGCGGCTTGCTCCTGCTGCGTCTTAGAACCTCAGGTTTCTGGACTAAGAAGGGCTTGTAGGCTTGGGAGGGATTTTCTCTCTTCCCTAGGGTTTATTGTATCTCTAATGGCTGATGAGGGCCCTCTTACACAAACCCCTTTGCAGACAGTCATGACTGAGGGATATGGGACATAGCCAACGCACCAGGGAAAGGAAGGAGACCTGCGTACCCTTCCCCTAAGCCAGAGGCAGAAGAAGCAGGCTGGCTTTTTACCCTCTGAGCATCCAGCCTGATAGAGTCTGAGGTCTCAGAGAGCGCAGCCCCGTTTCTGTAGGAAAGCCTTAGCACACAGAAGGGACAGGCCCCGTGAGTGCCTACCTGGGGAGCACAGCATGCTGAAGGGTATTGGGTGAGCATCTAGCATTGCCAGCACCTGGCACAGAGCTTGACAGTTGAGGGTTCTTGGTGGCGGTGGGGGGGGGGGAGGAGCAGAGAGCACCCCTCCCCCACCCAGAATTCTCCAGTGCAGGTGGGCGCCTTGTCAGGGGCACTGGTCTAACTGTTGCCTTCCTCGCCCTTCCTACTGGGCCCCTTTACCCTGACCCGCCTGGTCTGCCAGGTCCAAGGCCTGTCCCTGGTAGGACAGAGAACGAGCACCTAACTGGGGCGGCCACCCTTAGGCAAGTCCCTCTTGTCAATGCTCCTCACCTACAAAAAGCCTTGACCTCATGTCTTCCCGTCTTACTACCTCACCTATTTCTTTTTTTTAAGATATGTAGCCAGGGCTGGCTTCAAACCTGCTTCAGAGCTAAGACCTCAAACCCTGGGTCCTCCCTGTCTCTGTCTCCCAAGTGCTGAGATTGTGGACATGTGCTACCTTCCAGCCCGTGCCAGGTGAATATCAGAGGACAGCTTTGACAGCCATTCTCTTCCTCTGTGGGCTCCAGGACTTCAACTCAGGTCGTTATGACCAATGCTTTTACTGCTGAACCATCTCCCGGCCCCTGCCCTGACCTCGAGTGCCTGTGCTTCCCGAGTTCTGGGATCGAAGGTGTGCACCACACTCCTAGTTCGAGCCTTGCTGGGGTCCAAGCCCATCCTTGTGCTAGGCAAACCCTCCATCAACTGAGCAGCATCCCAGCTCCCATTCCCATTTTATAGGTGAGGTCTAGGATGTGACACTATTTGCTCAGGGTTACTCAGCAGGTAAGAGGCTGGGCCAGGATTTGAACCTATTATCCCACAGAAGGAGGGGACTGGGAAGGCTCCTCAGAGTCACTTCCTCCCTTGTCCCATACCTGTAAGCAGACGGAGGATAATAGGTCATGGAGACTCTTGGGTACCTTGAAGAACCCAGAGCCAAGCATTGTTTGCCAAATACTACTACCGGCTCTTCCCAGCTGACCTGAGCTCCGCTTGATTCCAGGAGCAAGGAGTAGGTGGGCTTGTACCTTCCCCATCACTCTTGCATCCTGAGGCTCTCCTCAGTACCCTTGCTGAGAGCTGTTTGAGTCTTACCTCATTTCCCATCCCTAAGCACTTGAGTTTGGCTTAGAACTTGAGGCTCGCCAGGAGACTCCCCACGGTAGAACCAAGAGAACCCCATCCCCACCCCCCAACTCAGGGCAGGGAGGTTCACTATATGGGTGAGCAAGGTCTGTCCGGGACACTCGGTAGACAATAGGATTTTCCAGGTAAGATGTGGTATGCCTATGTATCCACACAGACTATGCTTAGGGTACTGTAGCCTCCTGCCACCAAGATGCTGCTTCAGAGTCCTTGGTTTCTGTCCATCTAGCAGCTGGCACCCTGCCTGCAGCCCTTTGAGGGACTCCAGCTGGGAGTTTATTCTTCACGAAGGCTGCAGACTATGACAAGGCCACTCCTTTTATCATGGTAGCTGGCCTGGTCCTGCACTATGTGTGTGTGTGTGTGAGTGTGTGTGAGTGTGTGTGAGTGTGTGTGAGTGCGTGTGTGTGTGTGTGTGTGTGTGTGTTGGTGGTGCAGATGGCATCACCAACTACCAGGGAGAGGCTTAACTCCTGTTCCTGACGCCATTTCCACCAGGGTCTTTGCACTCGTCACTGCCTGCCTGTTGCCTCTGCAGGCTTTTGGTCCCTGTTTCCCCTCCTCTCCTGGACCTCTTCTCTCTGAGCAGACCTCAGCTCACTTTCTCATTTTCTGCCGAAGGATGGAAAATTCACCAGGCAGTGGTGGCGCACACCTTTAATCCCAGCACTCGGCAGGTGGATCTCTGAGTTCAAGATCAGCCTGGTCTACACAGTGAATTCCAGGACAGTCAGGGCTACACAAACCCTGTTTTTTTCTTTTTGGGGGGGGGTTCAAGGCAGGGTTTCTCTGTGACTTTGGAGGCTGTCCTGGAACTTGCTCTTGTAGACCAGGCTGGTCTCAAACTCACAGAGATCCTCCTGCCTCTGCCTGGGATTAAAGGGTGCCCCATTACTGCCAGGAGAGAAACGCTGTTCCTTTTTTTCTTTTTTTTCAGGGTTTCTCTGTATTGTTTTGGGGGCTGTCCTGGAACTCACTCTGTAGACCAGGCTGGCCTCGAACTCACAGAGATCCGCCTGCTTTTGCCTCCCCAGTGCTGGGATTAAAGGCGTGTGTCACCAACGCCCGGCTGAGAAACCCTGCTTCTATAAAAACAAGATGGAAAACTCCAGTCAATGGAGGCAGAGGCTGGAGAATGGCTCCTGAGGTTGGCTTTACAGTTTACCTGACTGTACATCTTGATTTGACTGAGAAAACAAGACCAGAGAGCAGCGTAGCCTTTCTCAGAGACACACAGCCAAGCCAGCTGCTGAGCTGACAAAACCAGCCTGGGACAGAGGCTCTCTGGCTCTTGATGCACACAATGCATTGTGGGTATACACATGGATGTCCCCTTGTTGAGTGGCCTGAAGAAAAGCCCTTAGAGAAGGTGAGTTGGGGGTCTTGGGAAAAGATGGCTTGAGAATGGGGAGTCCTGGGGACAGCTGGGGTTGAGGCAGGCCACCCTGAGGTGCTGGAGATGGCTGGTGTGAGGTGACCTGAGCCCAGACAGTCCCTCTTTAACAATGCAGGAGAGGCAGGAGTTCATCCCAGGACTGCAAGGAGGACCTCCCAGGAGGCCAGAGGATGAGCTTCCAGGGCTACACCCCAATCAGACACAAGCTTGGAGCTTTTGTTTTTATTTTAAAGGAAAACAAAAACAAAAAACAAACCCAGTGCAAAACCCCATTTTCCAGTGTCAGTCATGCCTTGGGCCACCCCCTGGCTCAGACCCGAATCTGCCTCCCACTCTGCACCCCTCCCTTCTCCTGCATCCTGGACCCAGGGGCGGGGAAGGGGGAGGAAAGAGCCAGGGCAGCCAGGCTCTCCCCAGGCCTCCAGCCATGGCACCAGGCCCCCACCTTGGCTCTCATTAACCCTTTCCTGGTCACACTACCGGGTGGTGAGGCAGATCTGGGGGGACTCCCTCCACACCCCTCTTTGCCCCGGGGCCTGCTCGGGGCTGTCCTCACTGAGGTTGGGGGGGAATCCCTCCCTCCCTCCATGGTGGGGGAGAGCAGTGAAATCCCCAGGTTTAAATACCTTAATGAAAGCAGGGGACAGGGGAGGAGGAGGGGCTTTAGTTCTAATAAATTATTAGCGTTTTTGTTTTTTTTAGTGTCCGTGGGGGGGGATGGGTGGAGGGGCAGGGTGTGGCCTCCAGGGCCCTCCCTCCCCTTACTGGTGAATCTCGTTCTCTATGAGGCTGTCCTCACACGACTGGAAATCTGTGTCCGTGAGGCCATCAGGCGGCATCAGCAGCTCCTCATCTTGCGAGGAGGATGACGGGGGCTCGTCTCCTGAGCTCCCAGGAGCCCCATCCCCGTCCCCGTCCCCCTCTGAGTCCTGCAGCACCTGAGCAATGTATTTCTGAAGAGAAAAGGAATGGGGGTTAAGGCGGGTAGGAGGGGGTGGCGTCTGAGGGTCTGTGGGCAGCACAGTGGACAGTGCCGTAGGTGACTGACTGGGGAGGGTGAAGGTCTTTCTCACGCTGGTGTCCACTGTCATTAGGTCTGGTTCAGGCTGACTTTTGTGGGGACTAATGGTCCACCCGGATTTGGGACTGAGTTCTGCAACGGCCCCCCCAAAGCACCCATGGCTGCGGAGTAGGGCACTCACCGCAGATTTAGGGACAGCGGCGGCGGTAGGCGGCCGTCCGTTACTCCTGGAGCTCACGGCATCTGTCTCTGTGTGTTCAATCTTAAGGGGGGGGGAGGAAACATCCTGGTTTTTAGTCGCAGTCACACCTAACACCCTCAGCACCCTCTGACCCCCTGTGCCACCGCCACAGGAAACTTTTGCCCCCAGGCGCGCCCCGCCACGTCTTTTCCCGCCCCACACCTTGTAGTTGTGGGCACTGAGGTATTTGAAGTGTCCGAAGCAGACGTGGCAGAGACAGATGACGATGGTGATGACCAGAACGACGAAGGTGAACATGGACGTGGGGGCGAGGAACCCTGGGGTTGGGGAGGACAAAGGGACTACTGCCTGGCCTGCCGTCTGGACCCTCTTCTAAGAGACCCACAACAGCAGCCTCTGACTCCCTCACCCCCATCCACACGGGCTCACCGGGGCCCGCCACTCTCCACCATGATATGTGGCAGGCCCTGTCTTCAAAGTCCCTTCTGTCTTTGACGCCCCCCTCTGCCCTTGCCACCCCCATCCCCATGGGATGCCGGCCCTCACCGGTGCGCATGGTAGAGAAAAAGAGTAGCCAGAAGAGGCAGAGGATGGGTGCCGCCACCACCTGGTTCACGGCCCCCGAGTGGATCTTCTTGTCCAGCTTGGCCGGCAGGTAGGCGTAGTAGAGATTGTATCTGTCTACCAGGTGCTTCAACAGCATGTACATGAGCCCTGAGGAAAGCCAACGGCCCTGACCTCGGAACCAGCGCCCACGGACCTGGCGTGATGGCCACAGGCGGTCCTGGCCTCCTGAGATGGCTGAGGGGCTGGTCTCCGCTCAGCCCCCTTCCCTCAGCTCCAGGACACAAACTGAAGCTGCAGCTTAACCCCGCTCATCCTGTGCAGCCTCCCCACCCTCCCCGCGTGACAACCGGCAGAGAGTCCTTTGTTTACACAACAGGAAGCCTGAGACCCTCCTTATTCTTTCTACCCTTGACAGTTGAATGTAAACTAAGGACTGGTTCTACTTCCAGAAGCCCAGGGACCATTCAACAGGGGCTAGGAGGTTAACTGGAGACTCTGGAGCCTTCAATAGCCACAGAGAGCGGGGAGGGAGTTGGGGTGTTATGGGGGAGGTAGAGGTTATTGGTGGGGTCATGGTCAATGAGAAACTTAGCTAGAAACCTTCAAAGAGGAAGAGGGACCTGCCCAAGTTACAAGGCTCGCCTCCATCAGGACATGTCCAGAGGTACAAGGACCTAGCCCAGTCTGGAATCCGAGGGGCGTTCTTGAATTCTGAGGTCTGTGTGTAAGTGTGGATGTTGGTAATAGGGATATATGTATGTGTGCAGCAGCTCAGAGGGAAGTATGTCCATGTATACCCAATGGGAGGCCTCGGTGCGTACCAGTAAGTGTGCTGAGGTGCATGGCTTAACCAGGAACTGGGCATGCCAGGTGGGCCAAGCCCCAGTAGAACTTCTCTCCCCCTCTTCCCCAAGGCCCGGCCCCAGACTGAGCCAGGAACCAGGCGGGAGGCCGGAGGGGCCAGTCTCCCAGCCGGGGCCCTGTCCAGTCAGGGTGGCCTGCCTTACTAGAGTGGAGCAGGCGAGGCCCTGGGTTCCCCCGAGCAGGGCCCAGGTCCCGGCGCGGCGGTGCCTACCGAAGGGCACGATGATGGGGCAGGTGATACTGTAGGTCATGACCACCGTGAAGACACACATCATCCAAGCGTAGGCTGCGCCAAACTGGAACTCGTAGGCCTGATGCTGGGGGGGACATGGGCAGGAGGATGGCTCAGAGTGGAGGGGACAGGTCATAGGGGGGCAGGCAGGTAGGAGGCGGCCAGGAACTGGGAATAAAGCCGTGGGTAGTGAGGGACCTAATGTGGGGGCGGTGCAGGGGACAGCAAAGCAGGTGGGAGGCGGGGGGGGGGGCTGTGGCTGAGAGGGAGGCCAGGCGGGGGGGGGGCAGTGATGGGGCATGGGCAGGTAGGAGCAAAAGTTGAGGACTAGGGGACGAGCTATCCAGCGCCCTCTTGTGGAATGAGGGCAAAGGGACCCTAGACCAAGCGGGCTAGACCTCTCCCAACTACAAACACAAAACACTATACTCTCAGAACTCAGGGACTACCTGGGATCATCCATGCCCACCCATAGCTATATGTGTGGGGAAACTGAGGCTTTGTATGGGAACTAAGGTCCCTAAAGTCCCAGCATCCTTGTGCCCACCACCCGAGCCTGACTTGCTGTTTCTGGCTGGGCCACCAGAGGGCGCTGTGCACGCTGCCGCTGCCCTAGGCGGCCGTACCCGCTTCACGTTGCGTCTTTCTGCGGCGGAGCGCGCCAGGCAGAGCCGGATCATGTACATGAGTAGGCCTGGGATGCGCAGCAGGTCCATGGCGTTACCGATAAACGCTGAGGCAATGACGTAGTTCACGAAGAAAGCGCCGTTGTCCGGCAGGAACACACACCTGCAGGTAGCAGGTGCTCTCCAGCACTGCACCCTCGGGGTGACCTGGTGGCTGTCTGCCTACCGCTAGCACGACAGCACACCATGCCCTCACCCTCAGTTGCTTCCTGTACATGGACACCCCCATCCTAGACCCATAATACCTGTGCTCCAGCCTTTCCGCGGTATGAGCCCCAGAATGTCAAAACACCAAAGCAAGCCCAGATGCACCCTGAAAACCAGCCCAGAGACCTACCTAGGTGGTGTGCCCTGTAAGCATCCGAGGAGAGGGTAGTTCACCACCACACAAGGTCACCAGCACGTGTGGGATGTAACTGCTGAGACCGCCACAAAACTCTCAGTGGCCCCCTCAGAGACCTCCAAGGGTGTGAGCCCCAGAGCCCAGAAAGTTTTCCCGATGCTGGTATTCCCACAGTAGACCCTAGACTCCTTCACTAATCCGCTTCAGAGCCCTCCCTCAGATGGCTTTGGTGTGTGTGTGGGGTGACAAAAACCAGAAAGTCCCTAAGTCCAAGATGGCCACAGAAGACTCCAGCAAGTTCCTGGGTTTGTGCCTACGAGAGCCACGGTATGCATCCAAGATAAGGCCTGATGGGGATACTCGGAGATGAAAACCCCACAGTCACTTTGAGACACAGACATGCTGCACAAGCACCCTCAGCTCTGTGCCCCAGAGCCAGACACACTGAGCTGTGAATCTAAGAGACAGATAGAGGTATGGGTTCTAGGGACGCTCATGGATACTCTAGGGGCCCCCAAGCCACCCCAGATTATGACCAAGTTCCCACTACAGACACCTCCCCAACGTCCTTGGTGAAATCCAAGACTCCTACAGCAGTCTTAGAATAAGAACCCGAGTCCCCACAGAACCCCCTAAATGTGAACTCGGAGAGACTTAAATCCACCTTGAGCATGCGCTCAGCCATTCAGGTGCCTTCCTGAGCACGCGCCCCAACATACTCCGTCCAAGTACATACCCAACACCCTGTGGGTGCCTTCTTTCAGACAACCCAGTAGATTCATGTTAGTTAATCCCACCCCTTATAGCTGGGAGCTTGGTGACTCCCTCCTACAAAGGCTACAAGTGTCTCTCAGCCACCTCTCTCCCCAAGTGCTCTGCCCGCCCACTCACTCAAACCGTATAGCCGCCTCGGCCAGGAACTTCTTGTCAAAGAGCCAGCGGAAGAAGAGGTCTAGGCTGCCGGGAGGAGAGAAGGAGACGGGAGCTGGGATGGCTCAGAGCTCGGGGCAGAAGGTGCCCCAGCAGCCCCGGGGATGCTTCTCCCTGCAGCTCTCTCCCGATGGCGCAGGCGCTGCAGCCCAGCTCCCCTCCGACACTCACCTGCTCAATCCCAGGGAGGGCAGGAGCAGCACCATGAAGATGAGGAAGGTGTAACACTTGTGCATTGTGGTCCTGTTCTCCCCGGAGCTAGTAGGGCAGGGGGCGGCAGGGCACGCGCCAAGGTCAGGCCAGCCCGGCCCACACCGGGCCGGTGTCTCAGGAGGCTCCCTTGGTGGCGGGGCTTCCTTAGGTGGAGGTACAGGGCCCAGGACAGGGAGCCCTCGGGGCACGCGGCTGGCTGCCCAGAGACG